CAGAAAAATAGGAAAGAAAGTACAACAAAATTCAAGGACTAGTCCAGGAAACCCAAATAATAGAAGTTTCAGAGAGAAAGAATGGAAACTAGATCAGAGGAAACGATCAAGAAGTAACTCAAGAAATCACCCCAAACGAATGGGCATACAGTTTAAGATTAAAAGATCCCATCTAGTAACAAGCACAATGAAGGAATGCTGAGTTACATCAGTCCGAACTTGGAGAAACCTGGAGATAGAGGTTTTACTACTCGCCGGGAGGAGAAAAACACAAGTATTTCCAAGAACTGGAAGGACATTGATTGGATTTGTCTATACTGGAGAGCTCCAGTGCACTCCTAAAAAGCCTTCAGAATGCTGAGGGAAACTGCAAAACCTATATCCAACCCAGAATCCTATATATGTTCAAATCATTAATTAAGGGGGAGAATTCAAGAAGGACATTTGAGATATGCAAGTTTCAAAGGTGTACCCCAGGAAGTATTTGACCTTTATTTCCCATACAACTTCAATGGGAAAAGATACTACTTTAAAAAGAATTCAGGGGCACCTGGATGGCTCAGTTGGTTAAGCATTCAACTTCGGCTTAAGTCACAATCTTAGGGTTTGTGAGTTTGTGCCCCGCATGGGGCTCTGTGCTGACAGCTCAGAGCCTGGAGCCTGCTTCAGATTCTCAGTCTCCCTCTCTCTCTGCCCTCCCCAACTTGTGTTCTGTCTCTCTCTCTCACTCAAAAAATAAAAAACAAACATTAAACAAAATTAAAAATAAGTCAAAAAAATCACCTATTTTTTTCATAGAGGCAGGTGACCAGTCCTAACTGGGGAGTCTGGGAAGGGCTTCCCCAGGGAGGTGCTGAATGAGGATGTTAGTAGGTGGGTAAGGTGAGGGGTGGGGGACATGTCAGGTGAAAGGAAAATGTAGTCAGAAGAGAGGATAAAAAATATATTGGGGAAAAGTCGTAAAGAGTCTTAAGTTCCATGCTGAAATATGTATGGACTTTACTCCAAAGAGAATAAGTGTCATTTTTAAGCAAGAGTTTGACCTGAAATGAACTTATATTTTAGTTTGAGGCAGAGATTAGAGGAGGGAAAGACACAGAGGTCAGGAGTCCAGTAAGGAGGCTGTTGCAGGACCAGGGAAGATATAATTTGGGCCCGAGAGGGGCAGTGACCAGTGGGACTGGGAAAGGCAAGGATGGATGCAGGCCTCAACTTCTCTTTTTTTTTTTTTAAATATTTTTATTTATTTCTAGGAGAGAGAGAGACAGCGTGAGCAGGGGAGGGTCAGAGAGAGAGGGAGACACAGACTCTGAAACAGGCTCCCGGCTCTGAGCTGGCAGTCAGCACAGAGCCCGACGCGGGGCTCGAACCCACGAA